TAAAATACTTAAATATTTTCTAGCAATCAAGCTAGTTTTGTCAACAATTTAAATCATGAAACAGACGTAAAAATTGCGACCCCTGTTTAAAATTATAGCTGCAGGGATAGTTCTGATTTCAGAATTTTCAATTACATTGCAAATCCTATTACCCGTTCCACATATGTATCAGTTTTGATGCTATGCACCTGTCTCTGAATACAGGCAACAAGATAATAACTATTACTATATAAAATATATTTTATATAGTAAATGGGTGCTGGATAGTAATTTTGTTCTTGATGATCAAGGGGTGATTATTATAATAAATTATTATGACAATTTGATCATTATTGGCATGGCAAATGTGCGTGACCATATAACTTCATTTTATTACCATGCACGCCCTTCTTTACTGCTACTCTCCATTTGTTCTTTAATCTTTTGTCCTGTGGAAAATTAAACCCTCCAAACCATTACAAAAATGGAACACAACAGTAATTCGCCATTTCTAAGACTGCAGTGTTAATCAGTTTACTTTGAAATATAGCTTATTAATTAAATCAGTTGATTACATACTCTGCATTCTCCCATTGAAATTCAATGTAAACCAGCTATACACAGAGATAGCTAGCATACATGCAGGTGTATACCTCTTATTTGTCAGGGGCGCTGCAGAGATAACTCTGCTGGATTATCTAGAAACTCTCCTTATAACATTCTCACATGTATAATGTATTATGCTTGAAGTTTATTTGCATGGTTTTATTTTAGAAATATTTGACAGTTTTTTTTCTATTTACATATCATTTCTTGGAATAAATCGATAAGGACACTGATTTACAAGTTTGACCAGAGTTTTTAGGCATAAATTTCATTCTGTATTTAAATGCTTGAAAGTAGAAAATCTGAATTATATCAGATTGGGACACAAAATATATTGCTCTACAAATCTCGAACTTGTATGGAACAAATTTTCTCTGTTTTATATTTTGTGTTTTATTTTTGCTTTTTTTTCTAAAAAAAAGCCTAAATGTCTCCGGTTGCATGTCCGTCGCATTCAGTGCTGCAGCACTTTGATTTGAATTGCTCGTGGTGAAATAACGGACGGGGGAAAATTGTCTGCCATATAAAAATAATAAAAGGGGATTTATCCGGGTTGTGAAAATAAATGTGAGGGGGTCGCCGGATCACACAAAGAAAATATTATGTAAACTTGGGTATGTTAAATTGCCTAACAATCATTTATAATACCCATGCCCTTCATTATCTTTTTCTTTACAAATGACTTTTAAACCGTTTATAGTAACATTTGTTCCACATCAACTAAACAACACTAAATTCATGCCCTAAGTGAAACATTTTCCACCTGTGTTAAGATTTTTGTTATTTTATAAATTGGTGGTCCTCTTATATACTTTGAGTATAGTTTTTAAGAGCATAGCCTGTATGTCAAACTGACCCGTCTCGATGATAGTATTAGATGAATACTTACATTGAACACCGCCTTTCCTTGTTGATCTTGTTTGTCATATTTTACATAGGGAAATAAAAATCTTAGTCTCTGAAATTGATATGCATACGTATACAGATATGTGGCATTGTCCGGCAGGATTTTACAATAGTCCTAATAAATCAAAGAATTAAAATTTCATTTTTCAAATGTTTTCATAATCATGATACATGTACAGTTTAAGTCTTTAATTTAAACATAATCCATATTTATATGTTGGCATAGGGTTAGAGGCAGAAAGAAGAAAATGTATAGAAAATGCTAGTGATCAAACAAACTGCACTGATGATGATACTGAAGATGAGGGAGATGAAAGTGATGACGACGAAGAAGAGGAGAATAGTGTAAGTTATTTACTGAGTACTGAGTAATATAGTAACTCTACATGTATTATAGAGTATTGAGTTGATAATTTGTTTAATTCATTCTATTTAAGAAATGCATGTAGTGTTTTAAACTATTTCACTAGCTTATTTCTTGAAATGTTTAAAACGATGTTCTATCAGATATTTTTACATGAACATTTATTTGGCTAAGTTTGCCCAGCATTCTGTCCGATATTGTTGGTTATGAAACATAGTGCGAATTTTTATACGTTTTTGGAACAGATCTTTTAGGTTTTTATGAATGTAGAAATCAATGAAGGTATACAATACAATGTATTTTCTAACAGGATTTGCAATTCATCAATTGTATTGGTTGTATTGACCCAAACCTAGTATACATGTTTCTTCTTTCAATGGCCCGAGGTGCAATGCACAAAAATCGTTACCCTGCACTTCTTATTTTTTTGAGTTGTTGCCCTTTGTCAATTTTCATACTTTACTTTTGTCTCGGCCAATTCTCCTAAAGTAATAAAAGCTTTGGACTTGAAACTTCATAGGATGATAGATCTCATTTCTCATTGAGAGGAAATGCTGTGCAAAAAAAAAACACACAAAAAACGGTACTCTGTATTTAATGAGTTTTGAGTTTTTGCCCTTTGTTAATTTTTATACTTTACTTTTGTCCGGATCAATTATCCTACATTTTAAAAGCTATTGACTTGAAACTTCATAGTATGACGGATCTCAATGAGAAGCAGTGCAGTGCACAAGGACTTGTACTCTGCCATTCATCAATTTTGTTGTGAGCTTGACTTAGTCGCCACTTTTGGCGTATAGTTCGGTGTATGTGCGTCCATGCGTCAGTCTGCTCGTCCGTATGTTTGTCCAGTCTATATCTTGCTCATTCTTTGAAGAATTACAAAATAATTTGGTACATATTTTCACCATGATTAGGTTGAGTGTCGCACACAAAACCCAGGTCAACATAGCACAAATTTTCTCCATGTTGAAATGAGTTGACTCATTCAGAATGAATGTCAAGGTCACACGCGGTCAAAGAAAATATTAAAATTTTGTTTGTTGGCCCTGTATCTTGCTCATTCTTTGAAGGATTAAAAATAATTTGTACAAATGTTCACCATGACTTGGTGAGGTGTCGCACACAAAATCCAGGTCCACCAAGGTCACACTAAGGGGTAAGCGCAAAAAACCGTGATCAGAGCGTAACTTTCAAATGCAAAGAGGGAAATGTTTTTCATAGGCGAAATGTGTGCGAAAAATTCAGGTGTCTGTAGTAAATGTTAAAGTCACATTTAGGGGTCAAAGGTCAAATAACAAAATAAAATATTCATTTGCAAGTTTAACTTTTATATACATATATCGATTTTAAAATAACATAGCACAAATGTTCTCCATGTTTAGTTGAGTTGTCTTGCGTATAATGTAGGTCAAGGTCGGAAGAGGTCAAATGTTAAATGAAAAGATTAATAGTTTTATTGCACCGTATCTTACTTATGCTTTTGAAATATTATGCTTAGAAGTCAGAGGATTTTTGTCAAACCCTCTTGCGCTGAGCTTGACATTGTTGACAAAATGGATGTTCAGCGTTTGTTTGCGTGTGTGTGCGTGCATCCAAAATTGTCCATACCATAACTTCTTTGCGCATGAAGGAATTTTAAAATAACATGAATTGAGTTTTTTTAGGGACAAATGTTCATAATAAGACTGTGTCAAGCACATGAACTCGGTCATCAGGTCAGAGGTCAAGGTCACCTGAGATAATGCAAATCCTTGAGTATAAAGAGTATGTAATGCGCACCTCTCACCTCTTAGACATGTTTTTTTCTTGCTCTGAATCTTATAGATTTAGGTTTGAATTAAGACGAGCGGGTCTGTATATTCTGCTTAGCTGCACAAAATTGCCGTCAAGCTAAATATAGAAAAAATGTGTCAAGCTTTCACAGGTCAAACTGCTGAAAGGGTTTCGATGAAACTTCCCAGGTGTGATCAGTACCAACGCTTGTTTTGCATATCGCCTGCACGTTTCCCTTTACTTCACAAAATGGCCGCAAACGATAAATCCGGCTTTCATAGGTCAAACTCCTGGCGAGAATTCGACGAAACGTCTCAGAAGTGATCAATATTAATCCTAGTTTTGCATTTTGCCTGTACATTTCGCTTAGCTGTGTCAAAATAAAACATCATTGTCCGGCTTTCACAGGTTAAACTGCTGGCGGGATTTCGACAAAACTTTACTGGGGCGGAGTTGTGTATAATGCTGTCACGTTTCGCTTTGGTTCACAATATGGCTGCTAGCGCTGAGAAAAGAAAATCATTTTTACGGCTTTCTCATGTCGAACTACTGGCGGGAATTCGACAAAACTTCATAGGCGTGATCAGTACCAACCCTTGTTGGGCATATCGCGCAACGTTCTGCTTAACTCCATAGGTAAAAATGCAAAAAACCTTGTTTGACTTTTACAGTCAAACTGCTGTTGGGTTTTTCATACCGCTGGTTTATCCTTGAGTACATACGTAGGAGACATATGTTTTTGTGAAAAACCCCGTCTAGATGTTTAATGTTTAAACTCTTCATGTATCAAATTGTTGTATTTGTTTAGGTTTTGGTGTAAGGCTATATAACATAATCAGAACTAATATACCTTTAAAATTCAGATGTTTCAGACATTTGTGGATGAAGCCAATCTTATTCAGTGCACAAATGAATTTGGGGTACTTCCTGGTCTAATGAAGTATATAAGCAAAAACATTCAAACCTGGAAGACACGAAAATTGAAAATTGCCATCATCGGAAATTCTGGAACCGGAAAGTCGAGTCTTATTAATGCCATCAGAGGTCTCAAGCCTGAGGACAAAGGTGCTGCTCCAGTTGGTGTGACAGAGACCACAATGAAAAAGCAAGAATACGTTCTTCCGAGTAACGAAAATATCAGTCTTTGGGATTTACCTGGGGTAGGGACACACAATTTTAAGAAAAAGGATTATCTCCATGCCGTTAACTTGAAGGAGTTTGACGCCTTTATGATAGTGTCAGCCACACGATTTTCAGAAAATGACGTATGGCTTGCCAATGAGATCCTTAAACTTGAGAGCTACATTTTTTTTCTTCGGACAAAAATTGACGCAGATCTAAACAATGAGAAAATTGATTATCCGAGGAAATACAACGAGGCTAGTTGCTTACGAAAAATAAAAATGGACATTGTTAGCAACTTTAAAAAATCGAAATTTCCTCAAAAGAGAAGTGGGATCTATTTAGTCAGCTCAAGAGAATCTTCCAAATTTGATTTCCCAAAATTGTTGTTTAGACTTACGGGAATATTGAGTAAGAAAAGATTTGCCTTACGAAGAGTACTAGAAAATCATTTAAAAAGCATTTTAAAGAAGAATAAAGAACAGAGAAAAGGCCATTTTTTCTGGACAAAAGTTTCACTTTTATTTGGTCTTGGCTCTTTGCCTTCTTTTACACGAGAAATGCACAATGACTGTAAAATTGCGTTTTCCCTTGACGACAAAACTATTGAAAGTGTCTCTGATGAGATAGGTATGTCGGTGAATGATCTTAAAACCAAAGAATTGAAATATTTCAAACTTTTGGAGGAACATTTGAAAAAAGAAGAACAATACAGTTATTTTCTTGGTCTTATAGTTATACAAGGCTGTCCCATTTTCATTAAACAGTTAAATGAAGTCTGTGATGTGATGGCTATGGATGAAGGAATACTTGTTCATCTAGTCCTGGACAATTTGGAGGAAAAGCTGCGGACATTTTAGATGCTCAATGTATTGCTTTAAATACATGTCATCAAGAATAGTTAGTGCGCTATGTGTTGACGATTAACAACTAATTTGAGTTATCTTTATATAATTCGGATGTTATTAGTTCTTTATGTCAATTGTTAAGAAAAAAAAAAGGAAAAAACATTCTTATCATGATGTATTTACAACAGTTATTGAGATATAGTTGGTATTTTTGTGAGAGATGCAGGATTACAATATCATTTGTAGCGACTCGTGATTATCTTACTTTTTTCGCCTCACTTAAGTCGACACTGTATTATTTCTGGTTCTTTTACACGGTGTATATCCATATCGGTACCCCCTTTGCGAAATCTACTAAAGCGGTTCCCGCTTTGCACATGCACATGTCATTCTCTGGTGGAAACAAGTAGGCGAAAATCTAGTAGATGTTCATCCTACTGATAAAAGCTGGTATAACGAGTCATTACTACGGCTGTTACACTTGTAATTTATGTCAATATTTGCAATGTCAAGGTCACAAAATATGATGAAATATACCGATTTTGTCCGGAGCATATCTCCTACTCTAATGAAACTTCATAAGAACCATTGACAAACGCTTGACAGTTGCTAAACTTTCGCATGCATTGAGGGATTACAATAAAATTTGGCACTTATGTTTTCCATTGTGAGGCAAAGTGTCGCGCGTAAATTCAGGTCCCTGTAGCCAAAGTTAAGGACACACATAGAGGTGAAAGTTCAAAAATAGTCATTATCATTACCTCGGGATTCTAATGAAGCTTCATAGAAATAATCACCAATATGAGAAGCAGTGTCACGTGGCTTAGGCGACTTGTCTTATACTATAGATTTTCAACACGTAATGTTCACATTTTATCCTTCACATTATATAATTGTTACCATTATTACAAATTTTAAAACTTCAACATATATAATAAAAATGTTTTAGTTTAATGTGTGCTTCTGTCAGCAAATCATACAAATATATGCACCGTTCTTCAATTGATTAACATGCATAGATTTTGTAGAATAATTTTCCGGCTAATGTTTTATAACTCAATAACGATTTTGGATCAACATTAAATTTGATTTCAGTGAACGTGGTATAATGTTCTGAGCAAATATCATTAAAATGGTATGTTAAAACTTGCAGACACTTATATTTCACCTCCTTGTTGAAATTAACTCTCATTGTTGACCATTCCGTGCATCAAAAATAATTGGAAATTAAAGGTCATTATTTAATTTTACCCATGAAATATGGTGCTATATCAGTCAAATATATTTCATATTTTTTAAAAATAAATATAAAATATAAATATGAAAGTGGGCGGAGTCGAAACTCATATTTATTTTAAGGGACTTCTTTCGCAGTCTGAGAAGTACAAAACAACTTTTTGTTGAATTTTGTTTTGAAAACTATCTAGAATGATAGAAAATGATCTAACTAAGAAAATAAATCCGAACACCAATATCTTTAATTCAGTTATTAACGCTGTACAGACGTTTAAAGAGTTGTTTATGTGACGTCACAATGTAGCGCCAAATGTCGCGTGCAAAATAAGACGCAATAATATATTACTGCGCGCTGTACAGTTACAGTTGCGAAGCAAGCAATGGGGTTCATAACCATTTTTCTTTGAAAATGAAATTATATAAAAAGGTTATTTTTTCGTTTTTCGTGAAATATGGTATAATTATATTTTCACTCAACATGATAAAATGCCACATATTTTCACTCGCCGTCCCGGCTCGTGAAAATATGTGGCATTTTATCATGTTGAGTGAAAATATATTCCATATTTCACTCAAACGAAAAAATATCCTCTTATTATTTAATCACTTATTCCTCTTAATTGGTTCAAATCTCTGATTATAAATTTTGTTTCTATATATATATGGAAGTTTGTATGTAAGGTTGCAAAGGTATGTGGTTTAAAACATTTGTCCGTGTGTACATAAAATAATATATACAGGGGTACCGGAGATTTTAGATCTCCCATATAGGTAAGACTAAACGCAGAACCAATCCATAACAAATAAGTCAGTATATAACTAGAAATGTGTCCATAGGACACGGGTGCCCCCACCGCGACACTGTTCTGTCAATCTTTTTACTAAGTCAAGGGAAATAACTCTACAAATACTGGATAAATCCACAAGCCAAACCCCAGGTGCAAATCTAAAATATGCTGTGCAACCTGCCCATAAGGTTTATTGACTTAGTATGTCAAATCCTTTTTGAGAAACTTGCGACACAAGTTGAAAATTGCAAAAAAATTTCTACGTGAAGGGCAATAACTCTAAAAATACTAAATAAATCCAGACGAAAATGCCTGGTGCACAACTGCACATGCTTATCAATATTCCTGTAAAGTTACATGACTCTAGGTCAAATACTTTTTGAGTTATGTGCGACACAAGTTGAAAATTGCCAAATTTTACTAAGTCAAGGGCAATAACTCTGAAAATACTAAAAATATCCAGATGAAAATACCCAGGTGCAATTACACATGCTGATCAACATTCCTGTAAAGTTTCATGACTCTAAGTCAAATACTTTTTGAGTTATGTGCGACACAAGTTAAAAATTGCCAAATTTTACTAAGTCAAGGGCAATAACTCTAAAAATACTAAAAATATGCACACGAAAATACCCAGGTGCACAACCACACATGCTGATCAACATTCCTGTAAAGTTTCATGACTCTAGGTCAAATACTTTTTGAGTTACATGCGACACAAGTTGAAAATTGCAAAATTTTACTAAGTCAAGGGCATTAACTCTGAAAATACTAAAAAATATCCAGACGAAAAATACCCAGGTGCACAACTACACATGCTGATCAAACATTCCTGTAAAGTTTCATGACTGTAGGTCAAATACTTTTGGAGTTACATGCGACACAAGTTGAAAATTGCAAAATTTTACTAAGTCAAGGGCAATAACTCTGAAAATACTAAAAATATCCCGACCAAAATACCCAGGGGCACAACTACACATGCTGATCAACATTCCTGTAAAGTTTCATGACTCTAGGTCAAATACTTTTTGAGTTACGTGCGACATAAAAATTGAACGGACGGACGGACGGAAGGACGGACGGAAGGACGGACGGACAGACGGACGGACGGACGGACAAGGGTAAATCTAAATGCCCGCCACTAACGTGGGGGCACAATAAAGTACCATGTACTTTGTATCGTCTGCTTATAAAAATCGCGGAAAGCAATTTGCAGGCATATCCGGTCCCATCATGAATGCATGTGCATATAGATTGGAATATAATGAATTTTTCGACTTCTTTATTGAGAATCTATTTATATTTGAACAGTTACATTATGTGTTTAATATCACAGATATTTTTCTTTTATTACAGTGATATAAGATCGTCCCTCTTCTGCCTTACAGTCTATATCAATGGCTGAAAGTGTCTGACCCCAATGAGAATGACTCTTATCTCCTATTCTATATAACTTGCACTGAAGACTTGTTTTCATTGTTTTACCATCCTGAAACTAAATATATATCGTGTTTATACAAAACAGATATTGCAATAAGACGCGGAATGGTCTGTGTGCTACCGATTCATTTCCGGCGGTTTTCATGTTTGTACTATCCTTAGTTTTCATTAGGCTGCTAGGCTGCCAGGCTGCTAACTATACAAATTTCGAAGCGTCAGAATAAACAGAAAATAAAGTTCAATTTCTTAAAAATAAAGATCGCAATATTTAAATAAGACGTGGAATGGTCTACGGACTATTTTTTTATAAAAAGTACTTTTTATCTATAATTTACACCGGCAATTCATAGAAATATGTTTATATATAAATTTCAACCATCGCCTTTATCAGAACAGAACAGAACAGAAATTTTATTTCGTAACGTATATAATACAGTATCTTGTTACATTACATATATCAAATATTATAAATAGATTAACACATGATATAATTCAAAGATTTACAGTATATTGGAGAATGAACATATATTGCTGCAAAAAATTGATTTTGTATAAAATAAATGTATATCAGAATAATCTCATTTTTAATATCAGAATAATCTCATTTTAATATAAAAATTACTAGTGAAATCTACACGTTTACAATATCTATGAAAATAATAACAACATTTTAACATTGCATTTATGTATAACCTAAGCTTATCAACATATCTTTTCTTTTACTATTCGCAAAATAAATAAATTTACATAAATTTAATAATATAGACTTTTCACATGACTGAAGTAATTCTATGAAATTAAACATGCTAGGTTTTTTATAATAATATCTTTTAATGAATTTAGTGCGTATTTCCTGGTACAAATTACAAACAAGTATAAAATGAAATTCGTCTTCAATATCTTGGGTATTACAAAGTTGACATATGCGCTCATGTCTTTCAAGTCTGTTTCTACCATTTCTACCAGATTCTATTCTTAAATTATGCGCAGATATTCTGAGACGGGTTAATTGTTGTCTTGATTTCATACACTTAATTTTATCTAAATAGCATTCCATAGAAAAATTATCCTTGATATGTCTATACAATGTATTTAAAACGTTATTATTAACAATATCTGAAAACCATTTTTGTTTAAAAACATCAATGACTCTTTGTTTAAAAATATTAACAAATTCTATTGGATTATAAAGTTCAGAACAATGCCACACCTCAGAAAAACCAAATTCATCTAAAATTCCTTTTACTTTATATGCCCAGTTTTTTACACCTTTTTTACACTGATTTAATGTATGTATTTATATACACACATTTAACTATGATATTGCTTGAATGTATCACTTTAAACCAATATTTTATTATGTGAACATACATGTATCTATCAACATAAAGTGGGTATCTTCCTAGCTCACCATAAATTGCTGCATTACAAGAGCTTATTTTCACACCAAGAATTAACTTGCAAAATTTCAAGTGTAATCTCTCTATATCTTTAGATTTTGTAAATCCCCAGACTGGACAAGCATAATTTATGATAGAACCGACAAAAGCATCAAATAATTGTAAGGAAACAGAAAGGGATATTTCATACTTGTTAATATTACATATTAAAACATTCATTGCTTTCAAAGCTTTACCTATAAGATATTGATTATGAAGTACAAAGGACCCAGTGTAATTAAATACTACACCTAAATAATTAAAATCGTCAACAATTTCCAAAGCTTCATTATTATATAACCAACGTTCATGAGGAAGTACTGGTCCTCTATTCCGAAAAACAACT